CGATGGGTCACATATGGTGTCTACATTTGCTGAAAAAGCTATAAATCACAAAGCTGCATAAATGCTGTGGCTGAATCTAACTATTAAGCACTTTTATAATTAAGAAAATCTGCTAAATCAAGCGATGTGAAATGTTGCAAATCAGATTCGATTAAGATTAAACCTTTTTACATCCATTCAATCACTAAAATGTCATTTTGAATTATTTTCTTTTATATGTATGAAGACAAAAAGGTAAAACCCTCCTGTTGTCAACTAAAATATATATATATATATGTGTGTGTGTGTGTGTGTGTGTATATATTTAATTCAACTCCGTACAAAACAAAAAATCCAATATTTTGTTGTTTTTCACCGCCGGGCTTCTGTTGTTTGTGTCAGAGCTGAACAGGAGGAGTAATCAACTGTTCTCCTGTCCTCCCTATGATCCATAGTTATTGCAGCTCTGCACAATAGGCATGCTGTTAACTACTGATTAGGAGAGCAGAGAAATACAGAGAAAAGACTGACTGCAATATTTTTTTAAAGCAGCACGAGATAGTTCTGTGAGCAAACAGGAACAAATTGTAAAATATGTAGAGATGAAGCAATTTTACAATGACTGCATGCATTTTTACGTACTTTATCTTAAAGGGGGGGGTTATTATTTGAGCTTTGTCATGTTATAATATTCTCTCATCAAAAACACACCAAGTGTTGCTCTGACTCGTTCATGTTTGAGGAATCCTTGAATCTTCTGTGGTAYTCARGTGGAGCCGCCTAAGCGTTTTCTGGTGCAAAGCTCCGCCCTCTTTGTTACAAAGCTCCCCTCAAAGCTCCGCCCATTTACCCTTAGCTCCTCACTGGAGCTCAGTCTGCAGCCGAGCTCCCGCCCCACAGAGCACCCCTCCCCCGAAGCATTGTCGTGAAGACTTGCTGAAGTGGGAGTGTCAGAAARGGTAGGTGGTTCTTAAAGGCCAATTTCAAGTCGTTTAGATAGACTATGATGCAAAATCAAATTTATTTTTGATATTTTCACAACAACTGAAGGCAACATCGTTACTTAGTTGTGGTATAGAATTGAATTACCATATTTATTCAAGTACAATACATAAAATTAAATCCGTAAAACCATCCATAAAGTTGAGGGGTTATACTATTCTCTGATAAATATTTTTACTTATGCATTTTAACTGAAATATCGGCTTCATTCACTAAATTATTGAGTCCGGAAATGAGACCGCGTCATAAAAAGCAGTTGAAACGAGCTTACCTGTGATACTCCATTGTGATTCAGAGCGAGATAATAACAGATCCAAACAGGCGACATGATGTGAAAAAAAGAAAAAAAGCAGTCCTGCACCTTAGTAATGATAACGAACTAATGACAGCGTGTGACCGGGCCGCTCCTCGAACAACAACAAACACATGTTCGTCTGTAATGGCTGCCGTCTACCGGTGTTCTGAAAAAGTTTMTATCCCTGAAAAAAACGTTTCCCCACCAGAGGGGGCGCTCACGAGCAGGAAGTAATCTGCTTTTCCCCCAGAAGATGGTCCAAATCTCATGTGAAGTCTCTGACTTTTGTGTTGGCGCCTCCTGGTGGACTATGTGTAAAATGCCAGAATTCATATGATGCTGCTACAGCTGATATATATTTGTTGTCAAAATACTGTACCTTTTAGTACATACAGTATGTTGTTAAAATAAAATGAACAGTCCAATGATACATAAGATCATATAC